AGAGGAGGGGAGGGGAGGGGAGGGGAAAGGAAAGGAAAGGAAAGGAAAATAAAAAGAAAGAAAGAAAAATAAAGTAAATGAATGACAAGAAAAATAAGAAATGAAAATACCGTAAATTAACTAAATAAGGAGAAAAAATGCTAGTAACATAAAGAATATAATTTTTCTCATAAGCCGAAAGCTGAACTATAAAATGACATATCAAATGAATATTCACCAAGTTTTCATCAGTATAAAAAAAAAACTTTTGATTGAGCCAATAATGTTTTCTTAGCTCTGATGTATGTCAAGTGTATTGAAATAATAATTACTAATCTCTTCTGGTAAATGATACGAAACCTTTGTCTTTTTTTCGGATTAGGAAGTTTTTCTTTAGCTGATATGATCATTGGATTGGATTTCTACATTAGAATTACACAAAATGTCTTTGCATTTCCGCGTATCTGTCAGACCGAAAGGAAGCCAATTTAGTGTCAAAAGGAAAGCCAATTTAATGTGTTCTCTACCAATGAAATCATAAAGTACTAACACCAACCTGGAGGGTTTTTTGCTTAGATAAATAGTCTGAAGTATTTGTCTTCAGTTCCAAAAATAGTGAAAATTCATTCAAACACTCAAATACTTTTTCTTTTCCATTTCCTATTCCTAGATGAAGCGGTAGTTTTGGCTTGTTTTTACTCTCACAATATCGAACCTTTAACTATGAAAACTGACGTCATTTAAATATCTAAACTCGTGACGTTAATACTTGAGTGTAAATATATGAATGTGGGAAAACACTTCCATATTTTTCATATGTATCAAGGGAAAGGTTTCATTGCAAGCAGCTGTTCCACAGATTATTAGTCCTTCAATTTATTGGAATTTCTCCAATACCTTTTATTCAAGTAGCTGACGCTCTAGCATCATTAAGTATCAGTAAGCACTGGCAACAACATTGTTTCTGTGCCAAAAGGTTCGTCAATATTGTCAGCTTGGAGCGTTCGAAAGAATATCACGCAACTTGTGCACGATGTTCCTAGATATACCTCCACACAGCACGGCTATCCTGATATTCGAGGCTTCGGTTCTCTTCATCATCAACTTTGTAGCATTCGTAGGCAACTTCCTCGTTTGCTTGGCTTCGTTTCGTAACCCTCAGCTCCGTACCACCACTAACTTGTACGTGATTGCTTTGGCTATATCAGATATTCTTGCAGCCTCCATCACCATGCCTTTGACGTTTGGCGCCCTTCTCAAGGGTCGATGGATATTCGGTACAGTGGCTTGTAACATCCAAGGGTTCTTCGTCCATTTTCTCATTTATGYTTCCATGCATACCATGGCCCTGACAGCAGTCAACAGATACTTTCGTATCGTTAAATCTCATCAGTACAAGAAGATCTTCGGAGGAAATCGAGCGGCCGTGTTTCTGGTTCTTGTGTGGATGTTGGTGGCCATCATCGTCATTTCTCCTCCACTATTCGGCTGGGCAAGGTTTGAATTCCATCCAGGTCCATCTTTGTACATGTGTATTCTGTACTTCCAGACCAAAACAGGTGAAGTGTCATTCCTTCTGACCATCCTTGTGCTGTACGTAACATTGTCTCTTATAATCATGGCGATATCATACGTCAAAGTGTCCAGAACCATCCGCAACCATAATCTACAACTTGCTGGAACAATGCGTCTTAATAGGCGATTCTCTGGGATCAGCATCGAAGAGATCCGCATTACAAAGACGCTTTTCGTCTTGGTTCTCGCATTCACATTGTGCTGGATACCTGTTTACACTGCTGTTTCTATAATCAGATCGGGCGTTGGAAGTCTCTCCGAAGAAGGCTCAATTTTTGCTACCTACATGATCTTCATCACATCTTCAATCAATCCTTTCATTTACGCCTTCAGGAACAAGTCCTTTCGGCAAGAGTTCAAGGATATTCTATTCTTTCGTAAACTTAAAACTGCTCTCACGAGCGAAAGGGTTCAACCATCCGACGAACGGGATAACAGGACAGAGGGTAATGGATTGCGAGAGTTGTCGGTCCAATGCATTGAAAAAGAAAAAACTCGTGCAACAGCAACAAGCACGGTCGAAATGCCTTAGTTAAAGCAGCGATACTTTAACCGAAGATTTCCTTCGAGATGAAGGATCCATGACAATTTGTAAATAAGACCTAGAGGAAGACGAACAATTTACAGGAATTATACAGCATACATGGATTTACTTCAACGTTTTTATAAGCTATGGATATAGCGTGACTCGCTTGTTCTTTTAGAGAACTGGTCTAATTATAACAATCGCTAGAATCTGGATTTAGATTTTGTTTGCAAAATGATAAAAAGTATCCCACTCTAGTGTCGCTTGGTAGCCATTGATGGGCATATGTATGTTTGCGACCTGATGGTTCTGTTAATGAAGTTCGATACTAAACCAAGAATGTCACTTTTTATTCTATTTTATCCGCCAAGAATCGCCAACGAGGGAGACTCTGCTAGCAGGGAACATTCATAAGTGAACGTTCTACGGCCAAAGCGAAATGAAATTGTATTATTACTACGTAGCTAGTGTTCGTGCTGGTTAAATAGCATAGTTTTTTGTAATATCTATTTCTTATTTTGTTATATTGAACAATATGCATGGTCGTCACGTACATCGTTTGAAGCAACAACCTTCAAACCATTTATAGCTATTTTGTCGTTAGACGTACGTCGGCCATTGTGATGTTTTATTTTCGACAAGCATCGCAATAAACTGCTAACACAAATCGGTTATATTGAGCAAAACGCGTCGTCGTCGCGCGCATACATCGTTATCTTATTCAAGCAATGATTTCAAACCTTCTATAGCGGGTATAGCTGTTGTGTCGTTAGAGGTGGGCCATTGCGGCTGTTTCATTTTCGTCATTTTCATTTTTGCCATGGGCATTATACATGGTCATCGTCACATCGTCGTCATCTTATATTCCTTTGGTATTTCATTCAAACCATTTATAGCTATTATGTCGTTAGACGTGGGTCATTGTGATCTCTCATTTTCACCATAAGATTACAACAAACTGCAAACTTTCTACAGGATTTAAAAAGTGATTTATGTTTTTTTCAAGCACATTTTTCTCGAAAAAAAATTTTTCATTCTGAGAAAAAATTGCTCGAAGGTACATAAATCACAACTTTAATAGCTATCCAAGCAGCAAAAACACCTTTATACTTTCTACAGGATTTTACAAATTTTAGTTATCATCTATAATAGACTATAATGGAAGACTAAATTACTAAAATAAACTACCTTTTATCCAAGCAACATCGTCATATCATAAAATGTGAACTCAATGAAATGCTCCACGCTTTTTTGTCCTTCCGTGATCCTTCATCGTCGTACAGCTACCTTACGAATTTTGAAAATTTTTTAAAATTATTAATATATTTTTTCTATGTATTTTCCGTCAATTTTCATAGTCTATTTTAGCTGTTCAATGGGTTCGTAATAAAAAAATTGGAGTGATTTTTCAGTATCGCGCTATAAATCCATTGTAATGACATCACAATCCCCTTGACTACAGTTGCTATGTTGAATATGTCCAACAACATAACATACAAGAAATATTTCAGTACATGTGACGTCATATAGCCGCCATATTGGATATGAATCGACCAAGAGTTTTTTTGATAATTTCGTTGTATCGTCCAACATGGCGGCTATGTCTTCGTTTATTTCTGCCTTTTGGAAGCAAGTGTTTGTCATCCGAAAAATATTGAGCTTGATATTAGACTATAACATTGTGTGCCCTTCAAACACATTTTTATTTTTTATTTTTCAAGAAAAAACATGTATATTTTCTCAAAGTTCATTTTGTTTTTCGAGAGTTTATAACTAACCATCCTTAAGGTTCCCAAGTGTCTTAAAGTCGCGGGCGGCTTTATTTCCGGGGGAAGTGTTCATAATCTGGAGCAACTCCTTGGTCTTGTTTCCACATTTACAACTTTCACTCACCCACACAGTCTTTATTACAGAAATGAATAATGTGTATAAGAGCCACTATAGTTTCAGATAATTGGAAGAAGCTTAGCCCCGCGTAAGTTAGAAGACACTTATCGAAAGTCTTTGTTTTCTCGTGGGACTAGTACTATGATGGTATCAGGGCTTTCCGCGGTATCCTTAATCTAATTAAGGAATAACGTTTTGACGAAATTTGCTAAATTTTTTTAAGAAGAGATAACTAGCTAAAAACTGGTGTGAGCTGCGTCGGTGTTTCTAATGAAACAGTAATGATGAAAAGGTAAATTATACACCGTGAAAAGATGAAACTGACGTTTCGGACGCTAGTCCTTCGTCGGAGTAAAAGAGGAAAGACTAGCGTCCGAAACGTTCAGTAAGTTTTTTCATCTTTCACGGTGTAAAATTTCCCTTTTTATCATTACTAATTTTTTTTGTAGAACTACCTTCCTCCACCCGTTAGGCATTCCCTGAATTAGATCAGTTCAGTAGTTGTTCATTGAGGGTTCGATAAAATTGGATTTTCAGTGAGATATAAGTGTATAAAATAACTTAAAATATGCGTGCCATCTGGCTATATATACGACAGTTAAACTACATAAGTGACGCCCATCGGCCTGACATTCAGTAATTAATTTGCGTAGGTTTAAAACCAGGATTCAAGTTATTGAAACAAAACCATATTTTCTCTTCAGCTAGCAATCTTGTCAAACGCTCTGTCACGGATGTTCTGTTTGAAGGACAGTTCGTGAAATCCTTTATTACCCGTTGCCGCACGGCTGTTGGTATGGCAACGAGCTAAGCGATTACAAGGCGCAACACGAGCGCGGGAAGTCTTCCAAAACAATAAGATGTTCTTGAATTCTTTGCGAAAAGCTTTGTTTCTGAATGCGTAAATGAATGGATTAACGGCGCTAGATAAGAATATCATGAACGAGGCGATGACAGAACCTTCACCAGAGAGTTTTCTTAAACCAGTTCTTATGATAGAAATGAATGCATAAACGGGAATCCAGCCAATGGCGAAAGTAGAGACTATGGTGTATAAGGATTTTGTGATATGTATCTCTTCAACACTGACTCCAGAGAGTCTTCGGTTCAGGCGAAGAGTACCAGCCAGTTGTAGGTTATGGTTGCGGATGGTTCTGGACACTTTGACGTATGATATCGCCATGATTATAAGAGACAATGTTACGTACAGCACAAGGATGGTCAGAAGGAATGACAATTCACCTGTTTTGGTCTGGAAGTACAGAATACACATGTACAAAGATAGACCTGGATGGAATTCAAACCTTGCCCAGCCGAATAGTGGAGGAGAAATGACGATGATGGCCACCAACATCCACACAAGAACCAGAAACACGGCCGCTCGATTTCCTCCGAAGATCTTCTTGTACTGATGAGATTTAACGATACGAAAGTATCTGTTGACTGCTGTCAGGGCCATGGTATGCATGGAAGCATAAATGAGAAAATGGACGAAGAACCCTTGGATGTTACAAGCYACTGTACCGAATATCCATCGACCCTTGAGAAGGGCGCCAAACGTCAAAGGCATGGTGATGGAGGCTGCAAGCATATCTGATATAGCCAAAGCAATCACGTACAAGTTGGTGGTGGTACGGAGCTGAGGGTTACGAAACGAAGCCAGGCAAACGAGGAAGTTGCCTACGAATGCTACAAAGTTGATGATGAAGAGAACCGAAGCCTCGAATATCAGGATAGCCGTGCTGTGTGGAGGTATATCCAGGAACATTTTGAGATTTTATAAATCACAATGGAATGTTTACGATCTATGTCAATAGAATACAATATACATGCTATTGCAGACTGCTGACTGACGATCTTGTTCGAGAGTGTTTTTATTATTGCGAAGCAGTCACTGATCTTTTCTTAACCAAGAGATAATAGAACAAATACTTTTTAGGCCGCGCACTTTGAGCCTTGTTGAGCCTTGTGTAGATTACCTTACTGACTTCTTTTCTCTCTCCTTCTGTAACTCGACGAGCAGTTCGTGCTCGTGTGCTAGCTCAGGGAGGTGCCAGTTACTAGATATTCTAGATAGTCTTAGAAAAAGTCCACTGTATTGAGTGTTTCAATTGCTGATTCGGCCAGATGTCGTGTTGCTTCCACCTGTGATTTTGCAATTCTAAGATCGTGCCTAGTCGCAAGTGTTTTTTTGAAGCTAAGCTAGCGAGACTAGTATTGTGTGGCGCAGCTGGTCTGATCCACTTTAACTGGAGCGATAAAACAAGAAAAAAGTGCATTCATCGATATCTTCTGACTGTGCGTGTCCACGATCAGAGCAATATTTCATTACTGCTCAACAAATCTAGTTTTTAGTCATCTCGTTGCAAGTGATTGTGTACTAACTTCCTCTAGTTGTTCAGCTCTGTCTAACATTTCGAAAAATTAGTTTAAATCTGACGTCTTTTAATTTTCGTAGAGATTTTTGTTTGCACAGCTCGATAAAAAAATGTAAAAGTGACGCAACTATGTCACTCAATGAAGTCGAAGAGTAAACGAAAAGACGAGGTTAAAAGAAGAAAAGAATTCTTTACTCAGTATAGGATTGATAGGCCGGTAGTTACAATCCAAAAACAACTAAGGCTTAGAAATTTGTGTGAGACCATACACTTTTCATCGAAAGCTAAGGCGCGAATGAAATGATCGTAAAGTAGTGTTTGGCCTCACTCGATTTTGTTTTACGAATTTCACATCAATGCTACTGAAGGACAACTTCATTCTTTTTCAAAAGGCAAAAAAAGATGTTCGCTCCTTAAGTTTGCTTTTCGATCAAATGGTGAATGTTATGTGAATCTCTTCAATCGATTTTTATTCAAGAGAGATCGATAGGCAGCTTTTAAGAACTTGTTTCTCTTTTTCTCTCTCTTTTTCTAGTTTTCTTTCTTTGTTTATATTACGGACACCTCTATATTACGGACACCTCTGTATTACGGACACCTCTATATTACGGACACCTCTGTATTACGGACACCTTTATTTTACGGACACCTCTATATTACGGATACCTTTATATTACGGACACCTCTATATTACGGACACCTCTATATTACGGACACCTCTATATTACGGACACCTCTATATTACGGACACCTTTATATTATAGACACTTTTTGTGTTCGTATTATAGAGGTTCCACTGTATTCATTCCTTTGATCCTTGTTCTTCCATCACCGTTCAGTTACTTTTAAGGTGTCTTTACATTTATCATTTCTTGCCTTCCATTTCAATTTTTGTAAACCACATCGGTAGAGATTCTAATATGCGTTTCAAGTACCTCTTGTTATTATTTTTGTTATCTAGGGCGTACGATTCAAGCCAGCACACCCAGGTTCATTATTCACTACTGCTGCAAGATGTCCCTGGTTCTTTAAATGAACTAACGCTCTCTCTAACCCACGAGTCTTTACTTCGCTAAACGCAAGCTGACGGTGTACTAAAACACTAGCAACCGCACTGTTCTCTGGTTGACAGTTTACTCTTCTTCGGCCGATACTAAGATTACTAGGCCCTCCTTGGGGAATACCAATGTCAGGAACAACAATATGGTCCTTTTTACACGAAAGAATCTTTTTAAATTCAACACGATAAGTCCTGTGATTGAAGGCATACACATATGGATTGATAGCTGAGGATAAAAATATCAAATAAGTTGCTACAATAGATCCTGTGTTGGTCATGGTGCTTCCTAAGCCAGTCCTGATAATAGACACCACGCTGTAAACTGGAATCCAGCAAATCCCAAACGCCAACACCAGAATAAAGAGAGTTCGTGTGATCTTCATTTCCTCTACGCTAACAGTTCCAAATCGTTTCGGCATGTTCAGCGAAGTCTGTACGGTCTTCTTATGCTGTCGAATGGCACGAAACACTTGGATGTAAGATGCCATGATGATTGTCATGGAAAGAATGACAAAGAAGAACAGGACTAAAAATAAAAACGTGACGTCACCAGCAGAGCTCTTGAAATCTAGAATGCACATGTACAGGGATACGCCTGGTTGGAATTTAAAATCAGCCCACCCAAATAATGGTGGGATTGAGACGAAAAGAGCCACAAACATCCACACCGCGGCTAAAATACACACCGAACGTTTGCCCCCAAAGACTTTCTTATAAAACTGAGGTTTCACTATTCTGAAGTACCTGTTAACGGCCGTAAGAGAAAGTGTATACATTGAAGTGTAGATTAGGAAGTGGGTGAAGAAACCCTGGATCTGACAACCGACTTCTTCAAACATCCATTTGCGACTGATGATAGCCCCGAGGGACAACGGAGCGGTGATGGCAGCTGCTAAGATGTCTGTGATAGCGAGAGAGATTACGTAGATATTCGTGGCTGTTCGGAGACGATGGTTTCGGTACGATGCGAGGCATACGAGGGAGTTGCCAACGAAGGCAGCAACATCAATGATGAGAAGAATGGTCACTTGCAGTATAATGATACCAGTACTTGATGGGGGTATTTCTATGAACATCATTGTTTGAAAAGCCTTCGAGTTTTCTTTCTGTCCTTTCAGTTCCTCCTTTGCATTCGTCTCACTAATCAAGTTGCTGAATACGTCCTTCAGTATCTTGCGAATATGGCTTCCTAAAAAGGTTTAAATTCTCATGCTAGAATTTCTAAGAACATTGATTGAGAGACGTTGGCGTTTTCTTCGTATCTTTCTCAGTTTTGCATTCGTCACACCGATCTTTTGCTTCCGGTAAATCACATTCAATAAGTTATTATTCTTGCGGATATGGATTCCTGAAGATAAATTCTCATGCTAGAATTCCTATGAACGTGATTGGTTAAAAAATCTTAGCGTTTTCTTCTTATCTTTCTCAGCTTTGCATTCGTCTCGCTACTGAATCCTTTGTTTATAAGTCGGTAAATAAGTCCTAGGCTTTTCTCGCAAGTGGATTCCACTAAAAAGGTCTTTAAATTCTCAGAGCTTCACTTGATAGAAGGACACGTAATATCATTCCACCATAAGTGTCTCAATATCTCTTCTTACGAAAGATGTTTTTGAATTTCAAATTCTTTTCGGCTAGTACTCCACTAGGCGTTCTGTGCAGAACAGTCTTTAGTGATCAGTGACAATCTCTTTAGCAATGCTATATACTCCTACGTGAGCTAACTTCATAAACAAACACTACCAGTACATATCTGGCAACATTGATGTGTCAGTTGCTCTAATATGACACCTAACTACAAGACTTGTCGTGATAGATGTTGGCACGAACGTTTTTCTAAATAAAAACAGTTCTTGATTTTGGATTCAAAAGTAAAAACACTCAAGTCTGGATTTTTTCCCTTGACACATTAGCGATTCTGTCCAGAAATGATTGGCGCTGAGAATATCGGTGGTGCCTCCACTTCTTTCAAATGTTTTCTGAGTCTATTTGTCGTTTTTTCCTCTTTTTTTCCTTTCTTTTTCTTCCTTTGATAATGAAAGCCGGTTCCAGATATATGGCCAGTAATCAGACTACATGTCTCAGTTCTAACAATTTTCCGCTCAGATTGTTTGGTACGTTTTTCGTTTGTGAGTGTAATTCTTCCAAGCTCGCATACGATGGCAATGCTCCACCAAATATTCAACAATCAAGTCACACGAGAACTGGAACTCGCTTCCAGATGAAGTCATCCCATAGCTAGGTGCTTTAGACTGTTAGTAATGAATGATATATTTCCCGATAAGAATGGAAAACCTGTTTGACAATCCAGACGAGTCGCACTTTCAGATAACCAAGTCTTTCATTTCCGAAATATGGAAAAAAAGATGTTATCCATCACACTGGCAAGTTTTCCATTTTCTCGAGTCATCAGCACTTTAAGTTTTCGATAATAGACTACATAAAATTGTCTGCATTGTATATTTTGGGTTTATTCAGATGTCTTAGCTTTGTTCAACGCCGCTCTAGGCTGGGATAAGATATAGAAAGATTACGAAAACAATGCATTAGTCATTTCCTTTGCCATATTTATAGGTTTAGTTTACAGTGTAATGATCTTTTGCGCCGGCCGACCTTAAGATGTTTTTGCTGGTCGTTGGGAATAAATGGGAATTAAAAAGATAACTTCACTAGGCAGGGATACAATATCTAAGCCGATTGCATTTTCTCTGGCAATATATCATATTCTTAAAACGATTTTGCGCATTAGAATATATAATGAACCGCAACTAGAATCACGACTCGAAATAATTTCTTAGACTAAAGACTTTTGGTTGTACGCCTTGACATATTTTGATAGTTTAAAGTATTATCGTACAAGTCATATACAGGTTTTGAGCCAAAAATACATACTCAAAATCAATCGGCATTTGAAAATACAAATCTTATTACATTACAAATGTGGCGTCAGAAGGGACATTTTCCCGACAAGTTCAAAACTCTTGTTATTGTATATTGTTAAGGATATAATATATCTAAGTGAATGAAGTATCCGCCTCGGATTGAAAGCACAGATGGCGTGTTGCGGAAACGATATCGATTCAACATTGCTAGGTGAAAGTGGTTAGAGCATATTGTACAAACTAAAGATCTAGAGCAGCCAATATCTGTCAAACAGCTTAGATGAGAAGGGATATTTTATGTCCAAAAAAATAATAAAGACAAAGTTTTTGTATAATATTGTTCGCCATTTAGATAATGGCCTCTTTAACACATTCTTAAAATTTTTCCTTTTGACTCATCGATAATTAAAATAAATATTTTAAACACATTTTGCATGATTAAATTTGGAAGCGATGAAAGTTTTAAGATAGCTTGGCTCTATAAAAATATAATGGCCAATGATTGAGAAGATGCTTTGTCAGATCCTCCTACCCTACAAACGAGCTCACAAAACAAATMCAACGTGAAAAAAGAAGATAAGAAAACAAATAATAAAAGGAAATCGGTTAAATATTGTTAATGAACGTGTGAAGATTATGCGGAGGTGGGCTTTGTTAATAAAATTAGTATATGACATATAAAGGCCTAAACAATTAAGTTTTGATATAATATTGCGAGTAACGACAGGCGTAGTTAGAAGAGGGAACTTTCTACTCAAATCAATGCAGGAATGAGCTAAAGAAACGACAAGAGGAATACTCGCTAAATGACAATGAAAAAAGTTAAATCCTAAAGTTGTCGCGTGTTTAGGAGCAGTTCTTGTACGAGTGTACGCATGCATTCATACATACATGCCTTGTCGCGACCGTAATATTTTTTTTTAGAATTAATTTTGATTGGCTGATTTTGTTTTTCTTCACGCTATTCCATTGTCTGGAAGTGCCGTGACCGTGTCCGCCTATGTTCATGCTAGTGCTGTTCTGGGCATTCGATTGGATAGAGACTAAATTCTTGCGCAATGTGAACAGTCTGGCGTATGCCTTGCCGTGTCACGACCGTGTTTGCGCATGCCGTCATGAGTTTTTCACAATCATACGATCGAAAACAGCTCTGTCATTTTCTCTTGATGTGCGTATGATTGCGCGTAGTCTGAATGACAAATGCGGTTGCACCAAGTCTAAGTCGCAAAAAGCAATATTTATATATAACTCTGAATTCTCTTATCAGTAGAAATAATGGTGCCGAATTAGCCTGATCTAAGATGGCAGCCAGAAAAGATCACGGACGTCTCTGTATATGTGTTGCGTCACTCACTTGAGATCATTGTAGGCGTGGTGGAAGAATACGGTAAGATAACTTATTGTTATAATTGAAATTCAAGTCAGGTTTCTTTCTTTCTGTRGCTTCAATTAGCCCGCGTATCGTAACGCCCATGTCTTGCAGTGTCTTAGTTGTCAAAGATGAAAAGACTTTTCCCAAAATCACTCTTTTTCTGTGTTTAGCGTTCACTAGTTTTTCTGGGTCATTTTCTCGATATCTGGCGTAGCTTTGACATTGCTCATGCTCCGATCCCAAGCAACTTTTCCTAGTAACGCTGTTAATCTCGTCCCTAGGGTCTAGTTCCTGTGATCGACAGTGCAGGCTCTGGTAAAGAGAGATCTTACGTCTACAAAATATAGTTTTATATCAACGGAAAAAAATATATTTTAAGCTACCGGGGTTACACATCTCCTATTCACTAGATCGAATAGTAATTTTCTTTCAAATTTATCTCGACTTTAGTAAAAATACGCAGGTGATTATAGAAAATCTCGCGCGCTGATTGGTCAAGAAACTCACACTATCACACGATAATCACCTCGAGCAAAAGTCCAAAATGGCGGCCAGCCGCTTTGTTGCTGTTACCGGGAAAAAATGCCTTTTATCTTCTTTTTATAATTGTTAAATATTGCATATGTACTCACAGTTTATCGAGATAATGATACGTACCCAAACATTCCTACAAGGAATTGTGGGTTCAAGAGAACCCACAGTTCCTTGCGCGAGGTGCTCCTCGCCAATTCCCTCTTATAAACTGCGTAAAAAGGAGTTAATGATAATAACCATTCTCATTACCAGGTCCCGCAATTTTTTCTCCGCCAAGAATCAAAGAGCAACAGACGCGTGCCCTGGGGATGAGAGTTAACAAAATTCTTTGGAATTTATAAAAAATGAAGAGATATTTAATAATAAATGAAATAGCTTTTTTACATGACACTTGAATATTCTCTAGCGGCGTGCGCAAAGTCGTGACAATCGTGTGTCATAGAAAYTCGCTTGCGCGTGTTTTTCCTCCTTGTTTTGATTTATTTTGTTTTGTTTTATTTAATCTTGAGCGCTTTTACTTTGTTTTATTTTTTGGCGTTTTAGTTTACTTGTGCCTTGTTTTGTCTCTCAAGAGTCATTGATTGTAAGACCTGCTGTCCTACTTTTCTCCACAGTGTGCATTATCTGGTTTCCTCTGATGTCACCGCATCCTAGGGTAAACAGTTGTTGCTTGATGCTTATTTTCAATTAATGACTGAAGTTCAATCTCCTCATCAAGTACCTAGACCACATGATTGAGGTAAGCTCGTGGGGTTAAGAGGAAGGGGCGATTACAGAATCTTGGCAAGGGGCTCTAAAAATAAAAACGAGGTTCGCTCCATGTCAAAGCAAAAGACTTTCGGCGGCGGTTGCACTCTTCCGTACTAGCTATTTTCTAATCAAGGGATGGTAGTTGTCAAATACAGTTATTTGAACGAGCTTTCCGAACCGCTTCTCCTTTAGATTCATACCGGGATTTCAGTTTTTCCATTTCTACCAAACGTTTCTTATTTACAATAGTTAGACCATCTTGGTCTGATTAAGTTGAAAATGTTTGTAACTACTGTTGAAATTTTTGCTTTTTTGAAAAATTAGAAAAGGCACTAGTAATTGGCTGTAGTTTCGCATCGGTCTTTTTCACTGGTTGTCATCATCATCATGGTCATCATCACCTCATTCATAGTTACCATAACCATCATCTTTATCATCAATCATCATCATCACCTCATTCATAGTTACCATAACCATCATTGTCATCCTCATCAATCACCATTATCACCATCGATAAGCTTGAAGCGAGATGACGTTTTACCGCCGACTCTATACCATAATAGTTTTTGAAATTCTTTCATATTAAAATTTTTGATTCCTTAGAGAATACAGGAACAATAGTCATAATTAAAGAACAAAAGCAATGTGAAAAGGATTATGGTCTAGAGACGGGGGTAAAACGTCATCTCGCTTCAGGCTTATTGTCACCATTATCACCATTACCATCATCACCTCATTCTTAATTATCATCTTCACCACCTTATTCATAATTATCATTACCATCATCATCATCATCAATCATCATCTTTATCCTTTCCTGAGCAATCTTCATAAAATTTATAAAATAAATCAATACTATGGATGTGACGACAGGTCAGAACAGCAAATTCTCTATAACCAGAGTATGATCCAGACTGCTAGACTATCTATCATCGATTACTAGCTAGTCGATACACAGACACGACCCAAGTAAACCTCATTTATCAGCGCGTGTGCTGGTTATTTATCATTGGCATCATGTCAGTTATCCATTACCAAATGATCTCTTTTGTATATTGATTTTTTCTTCTGTACATGTATCTGGAGGAGGAACTCCAAGATAAGACGTTGTTATTCAGTCTTGTAAAGAATAATTCCCTGCTAACTGTTGTCTTTTGGTGGCTCGATTTCTGTTATCCTATCTATGTAATTCAGTTCAGATGAGACGATTCTCAAAGTATCCACTCCTGAATATAAGTCCCTGCAAAACGATTAAACAAACGTTCAATAGAGCTGTTTCTACGACAACAATGTTGGAGGGCAGTAACAATGCAATGTTTAGTGCAAAACAAGAGCTTTCACCGTCCCACAGGATATTTTCTTATTCTTTTGGACCCCCGGCAACATGGCTGCCACAAAGCCCTTCGACCTCTATAGTCTAGATATACGGTGCGCTGGTTTGCGCCAATCTCGTACCCAGAGCCTTATTTCTTACTGCGCATGTTCGTTTGTCGAGCATGCGCAGTAAGAAAAAGCTTTGGGTATGATTTTGGTTTGCGCATGAGAGATTTTCGCGATGAAACATTGCGTACAATACCACAAGCATTAGAGTCAACTTTGCATAAAACTCTGAAAGCAATTTCAGAACAAGTAAAAACCAAGCTTTTTTTGCTCCTATGGTTTWAGGCTTGATACTATATTGCTTACATCTCCTCTCCCTCCCCTCTCCCATGAAAATAATGCTAAATCCCAAGAGACGAAAGACAGAGGTTAGATCCTTATTTGGAGATCAAAATGCATGGGCTGACAATCACTTGTACGTAGCGCCGGTAAAAAAAGGGATTGATTAGAACATCAGAAGATACGGCGAGATCACTCAACAATCACCCCTTGGTCTGTACGACAAACGAGATTAAAGCGAAGAAGAAGTCCAGATGAAGGAAATCTTGCATAAGAGGTACGGAGAAAAAAGTATCTGTAAGAATTATAGTTTACGATAATTTGTGCCAATTGACTCGCCAAACTGAATACTACACGGTATTGACACGCTCAAACCTTGAAAAATATTTTCTGTGAAAATTTAAATAAGCCTGTAGAACTTTACAAGTTAGCACACAGTATCAATAATCACCACTCTTTACACACGTATTAATGTAATATCTCCAAATTTTAATAAGACTCAAGTGATGGTCGCCATGCTGAATTTGGTATCATTAATGCACACTGGGGAGGGGTGGGGAATTTGTGTCTTTAAGGCGCAATGGCATAAATCCGAATGCGCTTTCTTTTAGGGTGATGTTTTTCAATATATCAACAATACCTACGTTTTTGCGCTATTTTTAGATTTTGAAAAGTTTAAGTGTTGTAAAATTGTTAAGAATGGATTTACGCCAGTTCTGTGTTTCTAAGTTTGTCCCTAACAATGTGAATGTCCCGAGTAATGTCACTTCTCATGCGTGACTCGTAAAGAAGGGAATAATACGTTTTTGAAGGAAATAATACTCAAGGGAATAAAATTTATTTTGAGGCCTGTATCGCATACAAGTATGTTAGGACGATTTCAATACTTCTGCAGCCCATTGATTTCGTCTCGGTCTGAGTTGGTAATCAGTGTTGAATAACAGAACAAAATACAGGGTACAGGGCGTGGTAGGGACATATACTATACCTCAGGGCCTGCTCTGCTCGCCTGGCTGCTATAACCATCTCGTCTGATGCAGATCGTGATTTCGCTTTGATGGCATTCAGTGTAGAGTGATGGGTGTCTACGAGCTGTTGGTATGTTTGCATTGGAACCGATTCTGTCTGCAAAGACACAAGTACCAATAAACTCAACATAATATATCCCAACATAACGACATCGTCACGCAACATAACGTAAATTAACGTGGTAACGCTACACGAACGTCCGTACCGTAACCGTGACAATTCCATGTTCGAGCATTTTGATTGGATTAGCAATAAACACGTGAGCTGTGATTGGACAATTCCGTACCGTGAACGTGTCCTTTAACAGTCAGACAAAATCTGTTCTAAGTTTTAATTGCAGTTGTCTCATCGAACATCGCTCCTGTCACAATTCATCCTAGCCACCTCATCCCTGGCTGTTAATCGTGATTTTTTTGTAATAATTATGCTTACATGATGTATCTAACATTACCTTATATGTTTTTAATTCCTCTTTTAATTTATTGACCTGAGCTTCTGCCTTTAATGCTCGTTTCTGATGACACAAAAAATAGTAGTAATAACATATACATATACAAGTATTTCAAAAATATTTTAATCATTAACAATAGAAATTGCGCGCTGCTCCCGCCATCAAAACCTGAATATACACCCCTAGAAATATATCTCTAGCTGGGAGTCAATACAATTACAAAAATGCACATTTTTAAAATCTCAAAATGAAAATTGCAAGGAGACCTACTGACTATCTCATATGTCGAAGTGTATTCTAGAACACAGTTATATTGTATTACTACAGAAACTTCATTCTGACTACAATATGACCTTATATAAACACGCAGACAAAAGAAGAGTGCAAGAGACCTACTGACTATTCCATAGTTGACGAAGTGTATTCTAGAACACAGTTATATTGTATTACTACAGAAACTTCATTCTGACTACAATATTACCTTATATAAACACGCAGACACTCTGACGCTTTGGAAAGCGGGCCTGCCAAACCACTAATACTACAGAAACCTTTTTCTTAGCCTTACGCAATACATCCAAAACAACGTATAAAGACAGCATTTATTTAATTTGGTAGAAACTAAATTTAAAGTAGACAAGATATTTTTCAGTAATTATAAAACAGATCTTTTGAGATGGGGAAAAAATTGTTTTTCCCGACAGAGCACAATTATGGTTACATTGCGTGCATTCAGACACAAGCAGCTGGTATAAAGTCTACAAACCTAGGTCATTACCAGCTGATTGGTTCATATCCATTCACTCATAATGGCTATATTTTTATTTTATTTCATTACCTTCTATGTTTTTAGTTGATTGTCTTCATTCATTTACTGGCTCCATCAACGCACTATTTCATCTAACCATTCAAACGTACTTACGCCCTGGTATTAAGCCCTAGTTGTTTTTGTTCCCAATACACCCTTTCGATTCCACATCTATTGTTCTACCTCCCTAGTTATTGTTGCTATGCTACGTCGGACAAGCCTTTTTTTTTTTTGGTTGTTGAAATTTTTGAAAATTGTAAATGTCTGTCTTAGAATCAATGCTTTCTAAAAGTACATTCACAGGAAAAAAATCTTTGTTGGTCGGTCATTCTGTATTCCATTGGGGAAAACTACCCATCGTTTGAGTGGACACTCAAGCAGAGCCAGGATCGGTGTAGAAGGGATCCATTCGCACTAACGTACAAATCTCGTATTTCATTATAAAGCAAAACAGGAACAAAAAAAGACTATTTTCAAAGATTTTAAGTAAAGCCTCAATCCATTTGTGTGGATAAGAACTCAAATATCGAACACTGCCTTTTTATTCCTATAGTTTTTACTTATTTATTTATTATCTCATTCGTTGTTTATTCCCTCCTTCCTTTCTTTAATTCTTTCTTCCCTCCTTCATTTTGCTTGCTTTCTCCCTTTCCGCGGGCGGATTTTCCCCCTCCTTTTTAATCCAAAATATTCTCAGAATGGAGGAAAAAGCATAATTTGCTAGCAACCATATTTTAAGAATTTCCTTGGGAGCATGCCTTCAGTGGTTTCCTCGTTTCACAGATTCCTGAATCCACCTTTTGTTTTCCTTTTTCTTTTCTTCTCTCTTTCACTTTCACTCATGTCATTTTTCACTTGCTTACGGTTATACGTCATTAATAATGGCATACATATTACTTACTGTCGTTAATTCTAAATTTTGCTCGACCAAATGAACCATATTTTCTAACGCTGCTGTTTCGTCGGCTTCTCGCTTCTCTATCATCGTTAACTTTTTCTGTAGAGCTAAAACCCTGATAAAACAATACAAATGAAAACATTTACTTCATTTGACTGGAATTCCACATTCCCATGGCAGTTTGGATTGTTTTTATTCAGAAAAAGGAAATTTGCGTCAAAAATTTCACATTTCGACATTAATAAAATTGTGAAGCTTTGTGAAGATTTTACATATTCTGGAAATTTATATTTATGCTAGACAGCCATGAGGGCTTCTATTAAGTTGATGCGGCAAAAATATTTGCGTTCAAAACTCAAGTGCTTATACAAAACTCCATAATAAAACATTTGATGATACGGGATTCGACTATAAAATCCTTTTCTGATAAAGTAAATACTTCCAAAAGTCAAGCCAATATTATATTTTACAGATTATTTTAAATAATTTTGGAAATAATTCAAGTCCTTACTTTTTTCTTTCGCTGTCCCGAGAAGACGTCATGTCTTCCACTTCCTTCAGTAATCTCTTATTATCCTCCCTTAACTAGAAACAACACTTACAGATGTAAGAAGATTGACATGAAGAGGGATTTATATTTGATCCATGCGCTTACGTCGCGAAAAACACCACGTTTGAAACTCGCGTTAGGCCGGACACGTACACATTAAAACGTTTTTATTTTGATGAAAAAAAGAAAATCCGTTTGTTCGCAAGCATTCCCAAGAGAGTCAAATGACAAAGACATAGCGGCCATCTTGGTGGTATTAACATTAGAAGCTAATGGGAAATCTTTTGTTAAATACCCCAATAAGGCCGCCATGACGCAGAGCATCTTCATTTGCTACCACTGTACACCTTTTTGTTTAACAAAATTAGAAACTATTGTCTTACTTTTGTCAGGAGGGAATGAAAACTAAATAAAAAAGAAATTTCGCGAAGCATTCTCCTAGTAGTGGTAGTAAAATGGGTTATTCAAAGATCCTTTCGTTTGGACAGGGCAGTTTGTTTTTTAAAAACAACATACGCCTATTTCATAAAACGTAGTTCTAAAATCTAAAAAGGGCGCATCTGAGACTAAACATAATATTTGTGCTTTTATTTTTTCTGGTTAAAATACGAAAAATCACATTCCTAACTCAAAGGTTATGCTTCATATTCCAATCTTAAAAGCAAACTACGTTGTTCGACTGTAAATATATTAGTCATTTTGCAGTGAGTTACTCGATCGGTCTCTGATTTCAGATCTCCAACCAACAACGCTTTTAAAAATAGATGTACATAGAAAGGACCTCATGTTATTCTCTGTAGTCTCTYATCCTCGACTTTGAGGGAGCACTCAGCATCAATCAATACATGTATACAACAGTTTTATAAACATTTTAAGAGCTGTTGTATTATATACAGACTTTATGTATTTAGATAGTTATCTCAGCCCCATGATGGCTCAACTTCCTTTAAACTAAATAACAATCTCTTCTTGCGTGAAACCCTAGGGCTATGGTACAAGGGTAGAAGGGTGGGGTAAGGTGAGCTGGAGGGGAGGGGTGGTTAATAGACTTTTTTAGCTTGGGCAGTGTTTTCTCATTTCAGACCACATGTCATTCCTTAGAGTATCATTTCTTTGTTTAATGGTTACACACGGAAGGAAAAAAAACACACACACAGAAGATGAATACAACTCAAACAAAGAATCTTATTCTCAAGAGAATGACACATGGCCTGAAATGAAAAAAAAACCCATCTTTTTTTAACGAAAAAAGTCCTATCAAAGTCTAAGTGACATAAATCCCAGTCTTAAGGCATTGAATCCCATTTTCCATCACAAAAATACCCCAGTTCCATTTTCTAGAAAAAACATCTATAATACCAAGCTTGATATTTACCTGATTAAGTTCTTCAATAATCATTAATTGTGAGTGCGAGCTGCCTGCCGAAGCCACCACATAATGTACACTTCCACTATCCGGTGACTGACAATTATTAACAGAATTATGCTTATCTTCTAACTCATTTTCAGAATCTGAACAATCTGATCCAGGGGGAGTGAAGCCAAACACATACTGGGAGCTGTCGCCATTGTCTTGCCTTCCATGAGATGACACAGATTTTACTTCATGTACTTCATCGCCAATAATCTACAGGTATTTGAAAAGGACATATATATCAGGCAAACAGCACAATGAGCGAAAGTATGACCACGTTTTAATGGATTTGTATATCTATATGCAGAGGCTTTTTCATGCTAAACAAGCATTTGCATGCCTCATTTAGTAAAACCATCCAGCTTTGCATTGAAAAATGTCCGTGTAACGTACAGAACTTGTGCATATAAGTATGCACATAGTATTACATGTACATTAAATTTGGTCCTACTTTTGCGCGTTGCACTGTAAATCCGGTTCGTAAATGATTCCTGTGGTATGTCATGAAGCATGAAAAATAAAAAACATGCCCACTATTGCAATAAAAATATACAACTCATTGATTATTGTCAGTGTCATTGTTGTCAAGTGCATATTAGCAACTTTATTTTATTCATTGGGTGGCCTGAAATCCATAATTTTAAGAGGAAAAATGAGACCTCAGTTTTGCAAATTTTCTC